AGGGGCGAGGGGGTGGGAGACAAAGGGCACCCGGGGGCCCAGCCAGCCTAGCGTACCTAATCAGTGGATGTCAGAGACTTAGTGGGAGGCGGGGCAAGCAGAGAGTGGGATGTGTGGGAGGAAGAAGAGTCTGGAGACCAGTGGAGAAACTGAGGCATCACAGAGGGTAGTAGCCAAGGGACAGAGCTGGCAACAAAAGGTCTAGAAACTTGGGGTGATCTTTAAAAGGGTGGGGGGGGGGAGACTCCAGTACCAGGGAAAAAAAGAATTCAGAAATTCCATTCTAACCACCCTCCAGTAATTGAGGGATGAGCTTCGTGAATAGGCCTGGGAGTTGAGCAATTTCAAATACCTTATAATTCAAGTCTCTCTCTCTCTCTCTCTCTCTCTCTCTCTCTCTCTCTCCTACCCTTCCCCTTTTATTATATTATGTATTTGTGGAGTTGTGGGGATGAGATGAGACAACATGAAGGAACTGGTTGTCTCTTTCTGGCTTATAGGTTCTGGAGATGGAAGCGAAGTGGTCAGGCTTGGTGGCCGCCTTCTTTTCTTTTGGTTTTTTTTTTTTTTTTTTCCAGTTGCTTTGAGACAGTCTCACTATAAAGTCCAGTCCAGTTTAGAACTTGAAATCCCCCTGCCTCCTTCCCAAGTGCTGGGATCGTAGGCATGTGCCACCATGCTGGTCTTTTATAATTCACTTTTGATTTGTTTTTGTTTCACTTTTTATTCCTTTATTTAGTGTGTGTGTGTGTGCGCGTGCATGTGAGCTCATGAGTTCATACACTCAGGTAGAGCACAACTTGAAGGGTTTGGTTCTCTCCTTCCACCACACAGGTCCTGTGGGTTGAACTCAGGTCCTGTGTGTTGGGGGTAAGTGCCTTTACCCACTGAGCCATCTCACTGGCCCTACAATTTATTCTTTAAAAGGCATACGCCAAATTAACCTCAAAAAGGTAAAAAAAAAAAAAAAAAAAAACTAGCAATGTATCTATAGTCGACGTCTATAGAATTGTCGTCTTTGTACATGAGGTTATAACATGATAGTGCGGCAGGTGCAAAGAGAACAGGATGCCCTGTTCAAGGTGACAGAGAAATGGTCCCTCAGCACACGCTAACCAGGTACTGCACACTCTGCTGCATTTCAGAGGCCATACACCCCAAAGGCAAGAGGCAGTTCCCCCACATCCTGTCCAATCATCCTCATTTGCACCTGGAATGCATTTGCATCCACTCCACTTGCACAGAGAGGAACTGAGGCTTTGGGGCCTAAGGGATTTTCCTCCAGTCTCACTGCTCATAAGCAGGGGCTGGGCCAGTACTCCAGCTGAGGAGTCTACACACTTCTACTGCTCTACAGTGGTGCTGTAAGTAGTAAACATAAAAACAAATCAAAGGGATCCATCACGTCCACCTGGGTCAGGTCACCGAGTCCCGCGTGCCACCACAGCTGTGCTGCCTGGCAACAAATCCGAAAGCTCGCGCACGTACTCAGGCTCTCCAGCAGCTCACGAAGGGTTTGCAGCCACAGGTGACACAGCTGCTCGTCAGAACTCCAGAAGGTCACCTGTGCCCACTTCCAGCGGTGATGGCTTGCTCGCTTCACACAGTGAACTGCACAGAAACCAACACAGGTTAGCAGGGTCTGCAGCTATGGAAGTGAGGCCTCATAAGCCGTACTAGCTGCCAAGGAGGACATAGCTGTACTACTCTCACTGCAAGAGTGCTGGGATCATCACTTGGGGAGTTCAGCTGTGTCCCCCTTGTAAAAGGTCATCCCAGCTGGGCTGGTTGAGAGTTTACACCCACCTCGTAGAAGCTGATACTAGGACAAGAGATTCTCACCTCCATTCAGTAAGAAAGCCCAATAAAGTCATTCCCCAGAGTGACCTTTGGTGCTAAGTTGCCTGTATTTGTCCCTGGGACCTTGGGAGGAGGGAGGATTTTAGCAACACATGGCAATTACTTTACATTCGAAGATGTTGAGTAATTGCTATCAGAAAGAGTCTAGGGGGCTGGAGAGATAGCTCAGAGGTTAAGAACGCTCAGAGATCCTGAGTTCAATTCCCAGGAACAATATGGCAGCCAGCAACCATCTGTAATGAGATCTGGCACCCTTTTCTGGCCTGCAGGCATACATGCAGACAGAATACTATCTACATAATAAATAGATAAATCTTCTAAAGAAAAAAAAAAGTCTCCAAAGCTACACAGAGAAACCCTGTCTCAGAAAAAGAAAGAAAGAAGGAAAGAAAGAAAGGAGAAAAAGAGTCTATGAAGATAAGCCAATTACCGACCTAGTAAGTAATCTTCTCTGTAGTCTACATGGAGGAGCTAAAGGAGGGCCTGGCAAGCACTGAGCTCCCTCACCTGTGAATGCGAACGGATTTTCCATTTTCTGCCACCGGCCACTAGAGGACTGTTTCTCATGAACATCTCTTTCCTCAACAGCGATGATCTCGGAAACTGGCACAGAGCAGGCATCTGCAAAGACACCGCACTTAGATCCAAGGATCCATCAGAGTGACACAGCGACCCCCAACTCCAAAGGCTGCAGACACTCATTCCTACTCTCATAAAACACCCCAAACAGAGCCGGGCGTTGGTGGCGCACACCTTTAATCCCAGCACTCGAAAGGCAGAGGCAGGCAGATCTCTGTGAGTTCGAGGCCAGCCTGGTCTCCAGAGCGAGTGCCAGGATAGGCTCCAAAGCTACACAGAGAAACCCTGTCTCAAACCCCCCCCCAAAAAAAGACACCCCAAACAGAAAGGGAGGCTAAGGCTGGTGAGATGGCTTGGCGGGTCAAAGTGCCTGCCTCCAAGCTTGAGGGCCTGAGTTGAATCCCTGGGATCTGCATGGGTGGAAGGAGAAAACCAACTTCTACAAGTTGTCCTCTGACAACCACAAGCACACCATGGCATGATTCCCCTCCCATAAATAAAATGTAATTATTAAAAAAGAAAGAAGCCAGTGGTGCACACCTTTAATCCCAGCACTCAGGTGTCAGAGGCAGGCGGATCTCTGTGAGTTTGAGGCCAGCCTGGTCTACAGAGTGAGTTCCAGGACAGCCAGGGCTATTACACAGAGAAACCCTGTCTTGAACACCAAAAAAGGAAGGATAGGTACAGGATGCGACTTTTCACAGGATCTGCTCAGCCATTTGAGTGCAGATCTCTCTGAGTCACACTGTGTGTGACATGTGCTCTGGACATGTTCTCTGTTCTGATGGGTAGAAACTGGCTTAGAAACCCACGTGACATAATACAGGAGACATAATACAGAGACACCAAGCATGTGAGACTGGGGATCCAGCCTGTGGGGAAGGGTTCCAGAGAGGCTGGGGTCTGACTAGATACAGGAAGACAGGATGGCATGGATGGGCCCAGACAGGGCAGTGGTTCTCAACCTGTGGGTCTCGAACCTTTTGGGCTCATATATCAGATATCCTGTATATCAGATATTTACATTATGATTCAAGCAGTAGCAAAATTACAGTTATAAGGTAACAACAAAATAATTTTATGGTTGTGGTTACCACAGCATGAGGAACTGTATTAAAGCGTCGGCAGAGTTAGGAAGGGTAAAAACCACTGGCCAAGAGGATGACAGCTCCAGACACCTTTAGGTTTGATTCTGTTGCTTTGAGATAAGTAAGGTCTCACTATGTATCCCAGGTTAGCCATTGACTCTCAATCCTCCTGCCTCGGCCTCGTGAGTACTGGGATTACAGCTCTGCTCCAGCATGACTGGTGCCAAACAATCTCTCTAAACCAGTAGCCCAGAGAGAGGCAGACTGACCCAAACTTGCTTGAAGCATGCTGCAATTATTTGGCTTGGATCAAAAGGAAGTTCTGGGCTGGGCACGCAGCTGTGGGAAATAACAGGTTTCTGACAGAAGCTGTGGGCTGAAGTGGTGTGGTCAGGAAGGTAGGGAAGATCACAGACAGTAACGCCCTCTTTGAACACAGGCTGGACTCCAGAATGCTTCTTTATGAATCACGGTGTATTTTTGTATGGATGAACATTACCTGCTAGCTCCCTCAGTTGCTCTGCACCCTTCGGTCTAGCTAAAAAAAAATCCCACATCTCTGCAGTGCTACATTAGCGAACCAGGTTGTATAGTGCCTGTGACCCCTCTGTGTTAGTCTTCAAGTTGTTGTCATGGAAATTGGGTCACTGGAACCTGGGGAGGTGCAATCTGAGCTGTGAAAGGATTGCAACCAGGTCCCTAGAATCCCCAGAGGCACACACACTGGGGAGGGGCTGAGCTGAGCTGAGCAGAATCGAACCTAGTGCTGTGTGGAGGCTGCTGTGCCAGCCTGGGTCTGGGGCCACCCTCAGCTCTCCTTAGGCAGCTGCCTCTTGGGATTCCCATTTTTTCACCATTGTGTCTCCAAAATTCAGTTTGTACCTGCTTCCGATTCTCCCCTCTCTGACTCCCTGCCCCCATCACACACACACACACACACACACACACACACACACACACACACACACACACACACACACAGCAGCTTCCATGCCTGCACAGGTGAGCACTGGTCAGGACAGCCTTTATGGCAGATATCTGGACACTCACACAGCAAGTAGCTTTGCAACCAGCAGCTAGTTCTCCCACATGGCCCTTCCCTTCTTCCACAGCTTAGTCACCTTCTGCATTTCTGGAAGTGCTGGCCTGGCCCTCACTGAGTGCCCTCCAAATCTCGCACCACTTGTACCTTGCATCCAGTTCCCTGGACCCACCTGATCTCTGACTATCTACCCCTGGCAACACCAGGAAGTATGGATCACCTGCCAGGTTCACAACAGGTACCCAGCAGTCAGGACAGAAAGTGGTGAGGCAGTGAGTGACCCTTTGATAAAACAATCTGTACTTTGAGTCTCAGGTTTCAAGCATCTCTCCTTGCCTCTACCTCACAATGGTGACCATCCATAAGAAACAGGTGACATGCCTGGGGTGGTGGTGGTGTATGCCTTTAATCCCAGCAGAGACAAGCAGATCTCTGTGAATTTGAAGCCAGCCTGATCTGCAGAGTGAGTTCCAGGACAGCCTCAAAAGCTACAGAAAAACCCTGTCTCGAAAAACCAGAAAAGAAAGAAAGGAAGGAAGAAAGAAAGTGGTGGCAGGTGTCACAACTGCTAAGCACAATGCACAATAGTGGAGTAAGATAAGCTTCCAATATTCAGAGGATTGAGAGGCATTACAAAATAAAAGGCACCAGTGGCCCACTGGACAATTCACTTAAAAGAGTGCCAGTGAGCCAGGCAGTGGTGGTGCATGCCTTTAATCCCAGAATTTTGGAGGCAGAGACAGGTGCTCTGTGAGTTGAAGGCCAGCCTGGTCTACAGAGTGAGTTCCAGGACAGCCTCCAAAGCCACAGAGAAACCCTGTCTCAAAAAAACCAAAGAAACCAAAAAACAAAAACAAAACAAAATACATTCGGAGGATTCAGAAGGAGGCTTGGAGAACCCAAGGAAGAAGAGAACGGTGTCCTAAGGTGTCACATGCTGTGCTGGTCAGACTCCAAAGGCCATGTTGTACCAGGGACACCACAAAGCCATGAAACCCACGTACATTCCATAGCTGCGGTGGTGGCACACAAGCCACACCATAGTTCCTGTGATACTGGCACTGTCCCTTGGTAGGAACAAAGCTCTAAAAACAGCATTGCTTGGATACCCATGAGCATAACCCAAGGGTGGACTGGGAGGCAAAAAAATAAAGAACTAAGGTAAGTCACATGAATTGTCAGGAGGGACTCAGGTCCCACAGGGAGGGGCTGGGAGGTCTTGTGGTCTTGTGGCAAGTGGCTCAGGAGCTTCTCAGGGAGCTGCAGTATGAAGACAGCAGGGACAAGGAGGGGGGGGTGGAGGGGGAAAGGCAGGGGCAGAGGGATTCAGGGACAGGAATGTCATGTAGGGCCTATGAGACAGTAGCATCACCCTGCTGGGGACTGGGCCGAGCTGAAGGACAGTAAGGGGTAAGGCACTGTCCATCACAAAAGGACAATTCAATGACAGGTGACTTCCTATCAGAAAACTGGTCTAGCTATGGGGCTTTGCCTCTTGCATCCCTGTGTAGCAGGCAAGGAACCCTCTGCACACACCATGTCATGTTACAGGAGACTGATACTGTCAGTCACAGAGGTCAGTGGGGACAACTGAATGAAGAGGGAACATAGAGACATTGCAGGAGATAGCAGCTGGTCCTCTCAGGGCAGAATGCCCTTCCAACATGCGCTCTGCTATGCAGTCTAGATCATATGGAGAGGTGTCCACACACCTGGATGGCCTTGTGGACACTTGATGACATCAGCCACAGCAACTGAGAATGAGTGGGGAACATTGGCAAATAACTGACTCAGAAGTGGGAATTCTGGGCCTTTTCTATTGCTATAGAGTGCTAATATTTCTCTGGTAGGTGTCCTCATACACTGCCAGCAAGGTTACAAAGTCCACAGAGACCTGAGATGAGAAGTGCAATTTTTCCAGTCAAGGCAGCCTGCGGGCCTGTGAGATGGTAACACTGGCAACAGGCTGACCTGTGGGGATCTTTTACTAAGAAGGGGAAGGAATGAGAAAGCCAGGGCTAGGAATAGCTCATCTGGTCCAAGGATGGAGTCCTGTGCTGTCTAGGCAGCAGCTGGGATGTGCCCACAGCTGCCAATACTCTCGGGCCTCCCAGGTCCACACTCGGAACTTGCCAGGCAGCTTCTGTGCTGACAGTGTTACTCCAGGGTCTTCTGATCACAGAACAGTGGTTGACAGTCATTAAATGAGTCCCCTTTCCTTTGTAAAGTAATAGCCTGCTAAAAGTGTGAGCCACATGTCCTTGATCATTACAAAGGATATTAAATGCCTTTCCAGAGTCTCTCAGTCAAACTAAGGGCCAGCCTTAGAGCAGGAGCAGTGAGTGTCCAAGACACAAATCCCATGACATGCTGTGGTCCACAGCCCTCAGGACCAAACCCAAACCCCCATTAAGCAGTTCCCATCTGTCCCCCACCTAGGTACCACGGAGTCCAGCCACGCCTGCCATGCACTGTGCTGGCCACACACCTGACCTGGGGACACACAGTACTGTTTTCAGTGACCCCACTATTGTGAGAAGTGGCCCTGTTTATGGTGCTGCAGTCCTGAGAACATGAAAGTAGAGCCCCAACCTGTTACAGCTTCAGGGCCATTTCACTTTCACCCCAGTGCCCAAAGACGACCCCGATGAAACAAGCACTCAAAATTGTTCTTGCCTACACCATTTGGAACTCTGGATGTAGCCCCATCAGCGTGGCCAATCCTGGGTCCAGCCTTGGACTTCTTATTACCAGCAATGGTTTTCACATCATTCCACACACTTGACCAGAGGGCCTAGTCCACCCCTCAGTGTCACCTCCTTGCCAGTTGACATGGGAATACAAGCTCTTAGAAGTCACTATTTCATTCAAGCCAGAGCAAGTTTCAGCTCCTGGCACTGTCTTTTGAGAAATCTACCAAACACCATTTTCTTTCAGAGTGTAAGAGGTTAGAGTGCCACCAGCCTGAGTTTCACCTCCTCCTCCTTCACTGCACAGCCCAAGTGAGCTTTGGGCACCTCCTCCCAGGAGTCCCCTCCAGACATCTTTGCCTCATGAGCCCCACACCATTCCAGCTTCTCGCCATGCCACCACAAAAGTGACATGAATTGCAAAACAACTCACAAGCAGGGTGAGGAAGACTATCTTCAAGGGGTCAGAGGAGACAGTTCAGTAGATAAAGTGCTTGCTGTGCGAGCTTAAGGACTCAAGTTCGATTCCCCAGCACCTACTTAAAAAGATAGTTATTGTGGCCTGGGGTGGGTGGGTAGAGGCTGGAACACCCCCAAGGTTCACTGGCCAGTCAGTCTAGTCACAGGTCCCAGGAAGAGACCCTGTCTCAAAAAATAAAATGGGGGGGGGCTGGAGAGATGGCTCAGAGGTTAAGAACACGGGCTGTTCTTCCAGAGGACCTGAGTTCAATTCCCAGCAACCACATGGGCTCACAACTATCTATGATGAGATCTGGTGTCCTCTTCTGGCCTGCAAGGCAGAACACTATATACATAATAAATAAATAAATCTTTTTTTTTTTTTAAGAGCATTGGCTGTTCTGGCAGAGAATATGGGTTCAATTCCCAGCACCCACTTGGTAGCTCAAAACTATCTGTAACTACAATTACAGGAGGTCTGACACCCTCTTCTGGTCTCTGTAGGCACCAGGAACCCATGGTGCACATAACATACATCCAGTCAAGATACTCATGCATATAAAATAAAATAAACACATAAATTTTTAATTAAAAAAAAGGTGGAGTGTGAATGAGGGAGATGCTTGATGTCAACCCCTGGCCTCTACACATGTACATGTTCCTTCATACACATGCTTCCCTCACATGCACACAGACATGCACACACTCCTGCACCCCCACACATACCTGCACAGTCTTTGTTTTAAAAAACACTACTTCATTTGGGGAGAACAGCAAATGGCTTGAAGATCTGGTCTCTGCCTTGGGAAGACGTAGGCTTTTGTTTACGAGGATACTATTCTAGAAAACACACCAGGCTGGGCTATTTTACCAGGTCTGGCACATCTTATAAAACCATATTTTAAACAGTCTTCACATGTTTGATGTTCAGCTCAGAGATGTTAGAATGGTCTGTGCCAGTCACAGAGCTGTTCTGTTCCTTTCCTGCCTAGTTCTTCCACCATGATGGAGACACTGCCTGCAACACCAGCGGGGCCCTTTCTCATTTCCAGACAGCAGAGCTAAACTTGAATCTTTGTACGTTGTTTCTGTTCACCGTTCATCTGACAATAAAACAATCCACATTAAAAACAATACTGGGAGGGGGGCTGAAGAGATGGCTCAGTGGTTAAGAGCATTGACTGCTCTTCTAGAGGATCCAGGTTCAATTCTCAGCACTCAGGTTCAAGTCCCAGCACCCACATGGCAGCTCACAACTCTCTGTAATTCCAGTTCCAGGGGACCTGACTCCCATGGCACAACACCACTGCACATAAAATGAAAAAATTAAATTAATTAACAAAAAAAAAAAAAACAAGCTGGGCAGTGGTGGCACATGCTGTTAGTCCCAGTATTCTGTGATCTCTGTGAGTTCGAGGCCAGTCTGGTCTACAGAGTGAGTTCCAGGACAGCCAAGGCTACACAGAGAAACCCTGTCTCGAAAAACAAAAACAAACAAACAAACAAACCAAAACAATAGTGGTTCAAACAGGACAATGTCATAAATTCAACATTGTTCCTGTTTGATAAACCTTCCCAAACTTGGACTGCAAATCTGTAAGTGAATCTTGGCTAAAACTCCAAACACTTTTGCTGACAACAGACAGATCCTCCTGCACTTCTCTTCACGCCAGAGTGACTCACGTGGGCGTGCAGCTCACCCTGCAATGAAGGCCATCACATTCCAGAGTAATCAGCTGCCCTTGGCGGGGGAGGCTGGCCTGCTGGTTCTTGTCATCTGGGGGAGTTTGCCAGAGCCTTCTCCACAGCCTGCTGCAGTATTTGCAGTCATCACATTACCTCGCAGAGCAAGCATACAGGCACCAGCTTCTAGCACTTGCTGATTCTGTTCTGTTTGTGTGCACTGTAGTCAGTGAGTTGTGACAGAAAGCAGTGTCTTCTGCCAGCCAGTCAGCTGGGATGCCAGAGGCTCCTGGATGCCCATGGGTTTCCCACATGCCTCAAGGGCAGCAAGGTTCACCAGTACCCAGGTACACACACACATACACACACACACACACACACACACACACACACACACACACACACACGTAAGCCCACACATATCAGACAAGAGTCAAGATAATGGGAATATGCCACTCAGTCGTCTCTCCCATGGCCACCCAGGAAGCCCAGGGGATAGAGATCAAGACAACAAACTGGGCACAATGGCACATACCTGTACTCCCAGCCTGGAAGTCGGAGGCAAGAGGATGAGAAATTTATCATCAAGGTCACAACTGCTGCATGTGGCTCTCTAAAAACTTGAAATCTGAGGTGAAAGGGAGAAGAGGAGATGGGACAAGAGAGCCACGCCCCTAGTGCCCTCTAGCATAGGTCATACAAAGGGTGAGGCTACCTCCCCATGGAAAAAAGGTATGAAGTAGCCCCAAGCATCTTGACCTATATGCACCCAGTCTGTACAGGCACCTGTACAAGGGTGCCCAAGGGAGCTGGATGGGGAACGTGTCTCATTGCCTTGCAATTAGATAGGAGTCAAATTTTCCTGGCAATAGGCCATTCCACAGCATTTGCCATGTGAATACCTGACCATTAAAACCATAGGTAAATACTCTCTGCACATGGGCCCTGGGCAATGCAGAAATACCACATGGGCCCGGACTCTCTGAGTAACAATTATCATTTGAGAGTGGCCAATCTGTGTGTTCCCTTCCTGCTGGGCTTTTCCATCCTGATGTAAACTCTGCCTAGGGCATCATCTGGGGAGCTGACAACAAAGCAAATGAGACACAGGAGTCATTACATGGAAGCTCTGAGGTGGCTGTGGGTTCCACACCTGCTGAGGCATGCCTGAAATCTGTAAGTAGCTGCACCGTGCACGGGAGGGAAGCTCTCAGGAGAGAGCCAATACAGAGCTGGGGGAAAAAAAAAGTGTTGTGTCTGAAGTTTCAAACTGTGAGCTGGGCTCAGCAACAGGGATGTGGAGCAAGGGGGAGGCGGGCCCAGGAAATGGGTCAGTAGGAACAATCTATTCTGAAAACAGGCCCGTCTCCTGGAATGGACTGGATGTACCTTTCCTTGCTCTTCCCTCTTAGATGTCAGATACGAGACATAAGAAGGCTCAGAGAGGCAGAGGCAGCTGCCTGCAGTTTGAGGGCAGGAGAGGGACCGTGGGTTTCCTTTTACACCACAGAGCTCTGATCTGGGGTGGAAGAAACCACAGTCAGAAGCGCCAGTGTGCACAGACAAGAACATCAACACATGGTATGGTGGCACACACCTTTAAGCCCAGCACTCAGGAGGACCTCTGTGAGTTCGAGGCCAGCCTGGTGTAGAGCGTTCCAGGACATCCAGGGTTACACAGAGAAACCCTGTCTCAACACACACACACACACACACACACAGAAAAAAGAAAAAGAATGCCAATCCAAGCCAGTCTCCTACAGCCACAGGGCAGGGCAGGGAACAGAGCCTTGAATAAGAACAACCACACCCCACTGAAAAGGCCAGCCCTCCTTTGCCAACCAAGCCAGCTGTACTGTGCTTCAAGGTGTAAGCACATTAGATGTGAAACTAGAAATACTGTGATCATAACCACTTGTCAAAATAAAGCAGGGGTGACCATGCTAATACCAGATAGACTTCAAACCAAGGAAGGTCTCCAGAGATGGAGGGCCCATTGTATAAAAGCAAGATGTGGCAAATCTCCATGTGTGCATTAAAAAATAGATGCAGAATATGTGAGGGGGAAACAAGTAGAACTGATGGGAGAAATAAATGAATTCCAACTGTCCCCACACACAACACCAGACAGAACACTGGAGTGAAGAGCAGACAGCCTTGTGTTGCCATCAAGCTTCAAGGACACACATCTAAAGGTTGTGGGATACATCTTTCCTAAGAGCTATCAAAACATACATCAAAAACTGATACAATCTTGGGGTCTTGATGGGGTTCATTTTTTCTGCCACTTAAAGAATTAGAAGGTGGGGAAAAATTGAACGGTGACAGGTAGTAGCAGAGAAACCTCAAGCACCCTAGACAGAATCAACAGTGGAAGGCCAGCGATTACTGGGGTAGGGAGACTCACACATGCAACACACACACACACACTGAGAAAAACACCCTCTGCTCCAAATCCAGTCTCTTCTCCAGGGCTTGGGGTCTGAAAGCCTCAGAAGGGTTTTCCTCCCCTACTTTAGGCTTGGTCAGTTTGAAGAAAGCTAGGCTGGTTGATTGGCCCAGAACTATCATGTGACATGTCCTAAGCAGGCCTTGAACTAGTTGAGCCAGTCCATAAGCAGGTGGCCTTCTGGTGAAAGACAAAAGCCTACAAAGCATTTGTTTTGTTTTGTTTTAAGCTGCCAGACTTTGGTTTCAAGTCCGGAGAGTGAGGAAGAAGCTAGCAGTTCTTGGAAATTCTCCACTTTTATTACCTAGCCATGGCCCCTTTCCCTAGTTGTCAGTCCAGCAGGGAGTCTGTCTACCTCCTAGTTGATTAAAACCATCTATCTAACCAGGAGACCCCAAAATATACCTCAAATATCTACCTGCCCAAGGACCCCCTGTGTTATATAGTACTACCCCCCACCCCAGCAAAACCACCACCATCATGATATTAGCTGTGCCTGCTGGTAAGAATCTATCCTCAAAGTCCTGTGAGCTATTGGCACTTTCTTAGAGAAGGAGGGGTGGGGGAGGGTCACAGGAGCTTAACACACACACACACACACACACACACACACACACACACACACAGGTGGGGGAGGGTCACTGGAGCTTCACACACACACACACACACACACACACACACACACACACACACCAGATTTCAGCCATTTGTATACAATTTTGCCCTAATTGTAACTGGTAGTAAATGGTGTGGTTCTGGGTGGGGCTAGAGTGTATAGGCTGGGAAGGCAAGGAGAAGGGGGAGGGAGCCATCATCCATACTGGGTACAAACCTTCCAGAATGGCTGCTTTAGGGATCACCCACACTCCTGCATATAACCTTTCACCTATGCTTTCTAAGTAAGCCTAATAGACTCATTGGTTCTCCAGGGTAGATTTTGGTACAATGGACTTTGGTTTGTTATTAGGAACTAATGAGGAGAAGGGGTAACATTGTTTCATTCTCTCCTCAGGATGAAAATTCGAGCAGCACCAGGGGCAGACCAGGGAAGACTGGCTCTGTGGGCACTTGTGCCTTGATGGAAAACATGGGCTGATTTAAGTATCTATGAACAGAACTGGTCAGAGAGGTGTTAAGGGGGCCTAAGGCTCCACTGCTACAGGTACTGTTCCTCAGCCTCAGCTGGAAGGGAACCCCAAGTGAGAATGCTCCCCAAATAGCAGCAATTTTTCCAGAAAAGCAGTTCTTGGATTTTTTTTTTTTTTTGGCTGAATTGTTTCTAGCCATCTGGATTCACTGCTTTTACAAGACAACACACAGTTAGTCCTTCTCTCCTAAAAAATGACTTAGGGCAGGGATTGGCAGCCTATACCCTCAACCCAAATCAGGCTGCAGGCTGCCTTTGTAAATAAAGCTGTACTGGCACACAGCCATGACCCTTTGTTGATATAGTGTCTGTGGCAGCTTATACACTCAAAAAGCAGTGCTGAGTATGTAATTGGATGGCTCATGAAGCCAAAGAAACTTCTATTAGTCCATTTTAGACAAACCTTGCTTTAAAGACACACTTTATTTGAGACAGGGTCTCACAGCTGGCCCAAGTAGCCTGGTACTTTCAAGCCTCTTGTCTTAAAGGTCTCAGAGAACTGGGATTACAGGCAGGGAACACCACACTCACTTGCTGATGTATTTTAGATTACCAAAAGTTAACCACGAAACCCTGTGAGAATGATTACAAGCTTATGACTATTCAAGGATCAATGAGACCTGTCATTTCTCAAGAGTCACTGAAACACCAGCAGAGGCTGCTATCTCCCAGCCTCGGCCAGGTGAGAAGCTTCGAGTTCAAAGGTCGTCATGGTCACTGGACTGATCTGGAAGGAGACTGTTTCTGACACAGATTGACGTGATTGCCGATTATTTCCTGTGCAGGTACTCAAGGGGAAATGTGCATATCATTAGCTTTATGTAAATTGACTGTTTCTGTTGTTTCTGACCTCATAAAGGGACATGCATGAAGTCTGCATAGCCCTGCTCAGTCTACACCTCACAGGCAGCACTTTACACCATCCTGCCAGGGCAGTGCAGGGGTTTGCACAAACTCTTCAGCCTCCTCATACCCAGCTGGCTTCGAACGCACATTCCTTTAGAGCAGTACTTCTCAACCTCCCTAATGCTACGACCCTTTAAGACAGTTCCTCATGTGGCGGTAATCTACCCATAATCATAAAATCATTTTGCTGCTACTTCATAACTGTAATTTTGCTACTGTTATGCATCATAATGTAAATATCTGATATGCAGGATATCTGATATGTGACCCCTATGAAAGGGTTGTTTGACCCACCAAAGGGGTCTGGGCCCACAGGTTGGGAACTGCTGCTTTAGAAGGAAGGAAAGGTGGGTGGGCAGTTAAAAAAAAAAAAATCAACAGAAACCGCTCCTCCCTCTCCTGTTTCTCATACGTGATGACCTCTGTAACCCACCACTGCAACTTCTGCATCTCCCATCCCAATGAGATAGCACCAGGGAACTGAGCGAGGGGCTGAAGTCCTCCTGGCAGAGCGAGGGCCTGCAGTCTGACCCTACTGCTGATCAACTATAGTGACAGTGAACCGTCCTTCAGAGGATGGAGGGCCTTTGAAGAGTGAGGAGGCAGGTGAAAGAGGACTCTGGCAAGAAGCCTGCCCCAGAGAAGGCAAGAGATCACAAAAGACAGCACAGAAAGAAATGCTTAGCAGAGGAAAAGCCCCTTGAAGGGCAAAGCACATTTTGGGCTGGAGTGAGAGGAAGGCTAACATGGGAAAATAGGAAGGAAACATCTTGGTTAGAGAGAACCATGGTGAGAAGTGCCAGGGACCCAGGGCATCACCAATGGCTCAGCTGTGCTGGGGAGCAGGTGTAGGAGAGGTGACTAAGGTCAGGGTTGAGTCGTGGAAAGAGGTCCACGACACACAGTCTTGGAAAGTGGCAGCTGTGTTTCCACAGAGGGACGTCAGACATCCAGAGCACTGACTTGCCAACAGGACTGAACTGGCAGAATTGTCTTTTCAAGTCTCCCATCCTGATGCCTGGAATTCATTTTTCACAGGAGTGTCC